ATAATAATAATAATAATAATAAAAACAAGGTCAGGTGTATGGGTTTAGCCTCCAAGCCCATGTGCACCTAACTTGCTATTAAAGGATCAGGCAAGCCTCACTTTTTTATTTTTATTTTTTTATTATTTGGTTTTGACATGATTTTTAAATAATATTATGAATTTTTATTTGAGTTTTAATATTTTTTTCTCATAATTTTTTTCAATTATTATATATCTAATATGAAAATAATAATAACATTAATAATAAATTGTTCATTAAAATTCAATTTCATTTTTTTTGTTATTTAAATTTTTAAATAGATTTTGAACATGATTCTAACACATTTATGATTTTTTTTAACTTTCAATCACATGTAAAATATGGACATAATATTTTGATTTTTTTAAATTTGCTTTAGCAATTATAATTTTTTTTTTATCAGGAACGATGATAAACAAGAAAGATGTTAATAAGAAAATTGATTTTAGACCTGAGAAATATATGTTTTGTGATTATTTAAAATTATTTGCTTAAAAAAAAACACTATTATTCTGTAATGAGATTAAAAAAATTGAAAAGTCACATGTAATATGAGATTAAATATCTTAATATACATCTTTATTTTAGATTCATGACTCAATTTTATATTTATATTAACAAATTTATTATTATCTATTAACACATATAATTCTTAATTTATTTTAGTGAACACATATATTAACCTTCTTTTGCAATGAAAATGAATATTGATGATTTTTCTTTCTTTCAAAATGATTGTATTTTTAGGCTTAATAACAATGTTAAATAATTCTTTAGATTCTCAATAGTTTTTTTAAAAGAGTTTTAGCCCCTCCATTGCATAGTGCGAACATGCAAATGGGTAACATACTACATAAAATGACTTACAAAATAACATAAATTATATATAACAACAAAATTAAATAGAACAGGGGTTAGATTATTTTTTGTCATCTTTGTCCAAGCATGTGTGATTCGTATCTCAAGTTTAGTGCCTCTTAAATAGACTTAATTGTTATATATTTAAAAGGTCTTAAAAGAAACAAAAGAAATTTTGGTAAAGATGAGACTTTTAAAATGTTTAAACATTATAAAAATAACATTGAAAATCAATTTAACAATAAAATAAAAAACATTATAAAAATGACATTGAAAATCAATTTAACAATAAAATAAAAAAAACAAAAAGTGATAAAGATCGGGAATACAACACCTTTTGATAATATGTTTTTAAATGATATTATTTATCAAACCACTGTTCATTATTCACCACATTAAAATAGAAATAATGCATGTTATGTTGATAAGTTATGGAGCCCTTCGAAACTTATAAGGAAAGGCAATTATAATTGTCAATTATATATTTAACAAGATATCCCATAAAATGTTAAAAGAAAAACACCTTATGAATTGTGAAAAAAAAAAAGCTTTCTATATATAACTCAAAGTGTGAGGGTGTCTTGTAAAAGTGCTAGTACATAATCCTAAAAAGCTAAAGATAAGATCTAAAACTATAGATTGTGTTTTTATCGATTATATGTAATAATAATGCATATCAATTTACTGCACATAAGTCAAGTATAAAGAACATTCATCCTAATAATATAATGAAATCAAAGAATGCTACGTACTTTGAAGATGTGTTTCCATTAAAAAAAATATAAAAACATTATTCACTTGTGAGAATGATAAAGGTGCTAGTTCAAGTGATCATATTCAACTAAAAAATGATGAAGTTGAGCATAGAATGAGTAAAGAAAAAAAAATACTTGTTAGAAAATAAACCTCAGACCTACTCCAAGGTAATGTCTTGTCCTAAAGCTTACCAGTGGAATGAAGCTATCAATATTAAAATATAAAATATTATAAATAATCATACATGGAAACTAATGGATCTTTTACCTGAAAGTAAACTACCAGGTCATAAATGAATTTTTAAAATAAAGATGCAAGCTAATAAAACTATTAACAAATACAAAACAAGATTTTTTATTAAAGATGAAATTAAAAAAATTAAAAAATTAAAAGAAAAAAATAGAGAAAATAAAAGGAAAAAGGGATTTGTTTATATAAACAATAAAGGTCCATTAAAAATCTCAATTTAATTATTATAAAACATAATTTGATATAAATTAATTGTCTAGAAGGTTAGTGCACAATCGATTTTTGCTAACGTTCAAGATTATTTACTTTTTTGGTTTGATATCAAAAGCAAAATGAACTATCCTTATTTAAATAATTTTAATTATTTTTCATATTTTATATTTTAACATCAAGATTTTGAGTATATAATAACCAAGAAATATTAAAAAAAAATCTTTTGAAGAAACTAAAGAAGTCTTAAGACTATTATTTATTTTGAATAAATGAAAAAAAAGGAACAAATGAGCTAATTACATATAATTTGAATTCATTAAAGAAAAAAGGATTAAATTTAAATGAAGCATAATAAATATAAACGCGTGTGTTAGTATATTAAATAGAACAACAATTATAATAATGATTAGACAAGGGGGGAAAAGGTTGTTAATTTGAAAAGGAAAATTCAAGAAAAAAAATGCCTATAAAAAGAAAAAGGAAAAGGAAAAAGAAAAAAAAAGAAAAAGAAGAGATTCTAAAGAAGGTTCGGAAATTCAAAAAAGAGGTTCGAATAGATATTGGCGCTTAACTTCAGGAAGCCGTTAGAGCTCCAAACCTGTTCACCATGCATACGGTAATGTTTTCCTTCTATTGGCCCTCGCTCCTTTATTTCTCTTTCGTTTTCTTTGGACCAAATCAAAAACTTGATTCCACACCCAAATTAAACATTTTCCCTTTTCGTTGATCCATTCCTATCTCTCTTTATCTCTTTCTGTAATACTTTGAAACCATTTGATTTCTTTTATCAACGTTGTCTTGAAGATTTTTGGTTTCTTTTTCTTTTGCTCTAGAAACCAGTTTTGGACCCAAAAACACCATCCGCTTCACTTGCTTTTAATTTCTATAGAAATCACATTTTCTTCCATATCCTTTGATTGGGGTGTCAAAGAGGAGTTAGAAAAGCATGAAGGGAGAAAGAATGGAAAAAAGATCATCATTTGGTACAATAATGAGGAGAAGGCTCTCTGATATTACCAACACTCAGTCACAATCCAAATTTGTTGGCCTCATAGAAGAACAACCAAGGATTCCTGAATGTACTCAAGACTTAATTG